CCTAATCAACAATCACAGTTACTCTGTACACTACTATTAACACATTCCATTGACCTTAACTCACATTTGATCATCCAACCCCGTGGAATTATTTTTGGATACCGTTCAATATCTAGAATTAATAGTCAGTCATTCGTCTGAACTTTTATCATCTGCCCCATTGAACTGTTCGGTCATCATCTCATCGGTTACATCGTACATCTTTATATGCCGCACATTCATATTGCTGTGAATTCATAGCCTGCGGACGACTGCGAACATTTCTTGCTGTGCTCTAACTGCACTACACATTCAACTGCGAATATGAACGAACGAAATGCTGTTTTGATTTAACCACTTAAAATGCAAAATAACCAAGATAAATAAGTCGTTGTGGCACCATTTAGTTTGCTCGTTAATCATCCGCGCATATTTTAACATTTCTTTAGCATCAAAGTTTGCATGGAAATGAGCACCAGCGTAGAAGGAAGTCCGACACTATCATCTGAACAGGTTCAGTTTTTACTGCAAAAGCTGTCCTCGGATGAGCAAAAAGAACTAGGTAATATGCTGAAGACATGTACCACTGAGATGACCTTCACTCGAGGTATTCTCTTTCTTTTACTGGATGAAGTTTAATGAAAGTGATATTGCTAAATTTTTGTCGGAACTTTCCTCCATACGTTTATCCCTCTTACGAAATATGCTCAAAAAGAAGAAATTCATTGAAATACATCTAAATCACTTCTCTGAAATGCAATTCTCCGTAGACAAAAGCATCAAATAAGGAACTCAATTTAGTGAATTTCATTGATGAACTGAAACATTCACTGTGTTTCTTCAAATCTGTGTTGTGCCATCATTTGGCAGAAAATCTTGCAGACCGTGATATGTTGAGACTATGAACCACGGCGTATATTCATTTTGATGTTTTGAAATATCTGATTTAGTGGTGGTGTTAGATTAGTATAATCAAGTTCCAACCTTACAGGATTACCTTTTGCGGCCGCAGTGGTCGGTTCTTTATATTTTGCACGACAGCGTTTACCAACTGTATTACATTTTGGTCCAAAAAAGTGGCCATTTTACGTTGTAGTGGGTATTGGTGCATTAACAAGTGCTAATCTGCTATCGATGACTACTTGTACACAACGTATTCAACCACATCTCAATAGTTTATGGCAAAAAGTTCGTTCATCCAACTATTTTTCAGATTTACTTAAATTTTTAAGTTTCATTTAGATCCGTTCGGTTCATTTTAATCAGCATAACATAATTTACATTTGCCAGTGACGTGATACATAACTTTTTTCGCAAGACTGTAAATGGTTTTCTTAATACACTAATTCAAGACTCATTCCGCAGCTAAGGGACGTTGAATTCTCTGAATGAATAGGAAACAGTTTTTTTGGATTGAGTAGAAGTGAACCTTGAAGGGAGCGCAATCGATAAAACAGTGAATACGCACGTTGAAGCTAAATTGGTTACTTTTTTCGGTATCGAAAATTGTGTGAAAAGATTTTCTTACGGTTCACTGCTGTCTTTTTCTACGAATAATGATGCTTATGTTATTGCTTTGGTTAGCAATAAATTTCAGTATAGTAGTGAAGACAGCGCGTCAACAATGAATTATGATGATTTGAGAAGGCGTAATCGTCAAGGAATTGGATTCTCGGGCACAGGTCATGCACCGGCTATGAGACCACCAGAAGCTGTGAAAGACTCTCAAATCAGTTTAGCAGAGCGAGCTGAAAATCAGCGTTTCACAGATTCTTCAACTCGTCGCCAGAATTATGATCAGTATCAATCGCAGCAACAACCATCATCAATTGCTGTGGGTGGTTATTCAGGTGACTTGCAACGGGGCGATTCCCAATCCAATTTATCAGCTTTCAACTATGATCAGCCCTCTTACATATCTGGAACTCCAGTCGGTGCTCCAAAAAAGACGCAGTATGGTGATGAAGGTTTTTCATGAAGCCTGCTAGTAAGGTCAAGTTGTAGTCTTCGTTAGTTGAACATTTCGGTTGATATTGTATGTGAACTGTACACAAGAACGGACCTGATATTGTATAATAGTTGTTGATATTTAAGATATTTATTGGTTTTAGCTTGCTAAAATAATAAAATTCCTTATGTATTCACAAATATGATGCTGCTGACTGAACCCACTGCTCAAATTGGAACCCACTCTTATGAGCTCAGTATTGCGTTACACTCCTCATAAGAGACATCTTTGTTGGGCTGTCTCAAGCACCTTGCACTGTCGATTACTTCTTTGGTTGAATAAGTTTTAAAATTGCTGATTCTATTTGATTGCGTTTTGAGTTGTACGTAAAGCTATTAATTCAAACTGTGAATTCAAATCAAACGAATAAATCGTATCGGTAATTTTTGTTTCCTTTCTTACAGTGACGAAATTAGTGCAGAACAGAAATCGGGTGTTTTGTTGGAGGAAGATATTGATAAACAGTCAAATTTATGAAATGATATTATGTTTGTTTCCAGTCAATGATTACGGTTTAGTCAGGATGATTTTATTGATCACTGACAACTTTGTTTTCGTAATGTTCTTCGTTTGTCATTTGCATCGCTCGAATAGGAATTAACGCCAACCGGTTGATCTTTAATTGATTGATGAAACGCGTCTGCCGCTCAATGTAATTTTCTCGTTCGAGTGGCTGAAAAAAAAAATTCTGTTCTGTTGAATTCAACGACCGAGCTTAGGGGCCGTTCAGTACGACCGTGGGAGTTGGCATTTTTAGATGTTCAATGCGTGTGGATCGATACTTACTTGAAACTCATTCCGAACAAACTTACTTCTGTTTTCTTTGAGTTGAATGCACTCTTTGCACCGAACTCAACAACTGCAACGGCGAACGATATAATCAGTCCGATTAACTGAAATCATCGCGCGATGAAACGGATACGGTTTGATTGAATTAAAAGTTGATAACTCATTCAGGGACGTGCACTTGTCCGATGAGCTTTTCCAAATGAAAGAAATGCGTATAACGAACGAGGATTATGAAAATGCCGTAGAGTGAGACTGTCCCGAGATCGGTGCCAATTGTTGTCGATGCATCGCAGTATCCACCACCTCTTTTCCTCTTCCACCAACGATCTTTCATTTCAGTCAACACAGTTTTCTCTTGTAATTGCAGAATCGTTGTTGATATCAATTCTCGATATGGAGAACCTTGATTTCGGTTCAGTCGAATTTAGTAATTCAGTAAACTAGTTGCATCGCAAATCTCACTATCACAATTCAAACTTATAAGCAGTTTACGAGAAACCAAAAATTATATCAGTCGATAAGACATCAAGCTGCGACTAGTTGGAGCTTATGGTTCACTATTTAGTTGATTCATAGAACGATTGAGCACTTTTTCGATTAATTGAGGACTGAAAATATCTCTCGTATCAATTTGAACACAAGGAAAATGTCGATTCGTGGGTGTTACGAAACTGATTCAGAAAATGCACGGATTGAAATAAGTTCTTTCAGATAACTATTTCAACTATTGCAAGCGCACTTATGGAATTATAGCAGTTGAGTTTGAAATGGTGCACTAGTGATAACAACGTTATTGATTAGTCAAAAATAAGCGACTTAAAATTAAAGTTGACAGACGGAATTTCATAATCAATTTCAATATAATGCCGTTCTTAAATAAAAGAACCAACCGACCTTTCGGTAAACCTATTCCATAACCTTTTTGATCGATTAATCCACCAATTTGCACCAAATCGCAATCTCGTTCAACTGCATATTCAAGCATCGACGATTCCATCAGATATGCATAATCTGATGTTTTCACTCTCCATATACCTTCTTTTGATGAATTCACGAGAAGATTTGGTTGACTCGACATTAATTTCCACATTCTTTCATATGTGTCGATTTTCGATTCCTGTGAACAGAAATCTTGTCCTTGGTATCAAAGGTATTGAAAAAAGAAAAATGGCAATTCGGTTGGAAATATTCACGATTGAAATGCATAAACAACAGCAGAAGTGGCAGTAATTGATGATGATAGTACTGTCAATAAATGATAGTGATAAGTAATTTTAGAAGGGAACAGTAAAAAGAACACTGAAGAAAATCATGGTTGATCCTCGTCCAAGAGTGCCATATTTGATTTTGGTTTGCTTCGCAAGATCATCAGCACTTTCGATTGGGGAAACCATCCGTTGTGCGGTCAGGAATGCAGCCAGATTAGCTGTGTATGATGAAATTATAATCAACGTAAAAAACCACCAAATTACAGCTGCGATTCGCGTACTTGCCGCCCGTGGCGATAAATCACTGCCCTGCAATGAGAGATGGCTATTAACCGTAATACGACTCTGAATAAGCAATTTTTTCTTTGAAAGTATCGACTGAAGTGATCCCTTTTGAATGTTCATCAGAAAAATCATAAAGTGATTTGCAAGAAGAGTTGATGCGTTAGTCAATTCACCTGTTGCATGAGAGAACTGACCGTAAACCAAAATGAGTTCAAAAATGTGAACTGTTTCGGTAAAATAACCAACGAACGATCACGATTCGAGTCTAATCGCTCGTACGGTGATATTGCCGCAAGAAGCCAAATTGCTAATGAAGTCACCTAAAAAACTTCAGCAGACCCTCTTCAATAGCCCAACCAGCGACTGAATGTATTCAGCAAAATAACGAAACCAAAAATTTATAAAACCATTTATGACTACAAAATACTTTTTGGAGCCAACTTTCTATCTGAATAAAATTTGATAAATAATAAAACAGAATAAGAATGTTCTGTGATATCAGTCGGAGATATTCATTAAGAATGTTAAAAGGCAATCGAAGAAGTTGTTTTCAGTTGCAATCGAAATGACTGCTTGAGACAACAAAGGTGACCATCCAACCAACAAAGTTAATGAATTTGTTCTGCGAACGCTCTAATAGTGACAAATTTGTGTTCGTTTAAATGACACCAATAAACAATCAATCATTAATACCACATAAGCAGCAAGCATTGAAACCCAAACATCAACACTCAACGGTGACATAAACGCGAAGAAGCTTGGATCAGTTGTTTCAGGTTTCTTGAACAGAATTGATATGCCAAGATGCATATAAGGTACGGTGAAATCAATCACTTCACTGCGACTATAGCTGATTGTTAGTGAAGCAACCGCAAGATCCGCATCCTTCAATTGTTTGCTTTTTGTACAGTAATAAAAAAGGGTAAACACTGTCACCACCCAATAAGATGTGTGCATTCTCGTAATTCATTTCATTCGTCGACTGTGAACTTTAATTTCCAAAGTTAGTAGATGATTCTTACGGTGCAATACACTGATGGACCATTCATTGAATAAGAAGAGACTTTCAGCAATACATTCTCAAAATAAGCTTACACCACGTTGAAGCTCGCCAACCATTCCGTTCCATTTACCGTTTGCCTCTTTGCTTCCATACGATTTATCTTTAACCTCATGAAGAATGTATTTAAATTTTCGTATTTCAGCAATCTTTTGCAGCAAATCAATGCAATAGCCTTCATACTGATCGTTACCATTTAATTGCTCACCCTTTTCCAACTTTTTAAGCATAACGAATGGCTCTTCCTGCAACCAAAATCAGTTTTCAGTTTATTATTCTCTCTGTTTTCATTGTTCAACATATGCATATATTACTTTTTATTTGCTCTTCTCGAAATTATACCAATGTAATTGATAAAGAATATCGATGATTTGACAGCTTGCCTTGGTGATAAGCATTTTTTCGTGATTTTACTATAGTCAAATTTTGCTGCTTAACAGCGTTTTGTTCCCACCTATTAGTCCAGAATTGGAAACGTTTATCCTTAAGAAGCACCAATTTTCAAAAGATTCTGACTGGAAAATTTAAGCTAAGTAAAATTATTGAATTAGTTCCTGCTTTCAGTCAGCGAGAAGCATTCTTTGACTTACCGTCTACGTTGTTTATCAAACATATTTTTCACTACAAAAACATCAAAGAGAATATATACCAAGTAAACGGTGATTTTGAGTGTTTTATTCTCGAGTGATTCTTTTTTCTTTGTTTCATTTTGTGATGCAACTGCCAATACAAACTCTGCGTTAGCGCTCTGCCATTGGCCTAACTGCAATTCCAATCGGAGCACCAAAATTTGAATTGAAGAACAGAAGAGGAATGAACTCACTAATTGTGAGTATTTCACGGAGCATGTTTGTTCTTGCAACACAACATTAATTCTTTGGGCATTCTCAAAATTTGACGCTCTCAACACTAGAACTTGTTGGTGCCGTATGAGATTGTCACAGTGCTGGATAAATTTAAACCTCTTCAAATCCACTTTTGCTTCGCTTCATCACGATTATACTAGAATTCGCTCGTTTCCCGCTCCGGTCAAGAGCAATTGATCCTGTTATGCCTTTTGAATAACTCTAAAATCAATGCGCTTTTGTTTTGAAGTCACCTACTTACAAGTTTGTAAGTTTTTAAAGTTCCGTAGTTGAACGTGTCCATGTTGATGTTTAGTTGTTGACCATAATATTAATGATAAAACGAACTGCAACTGATTTTTATCCTATACAATAAATTTAATCGTCATTAATATGGTGAAAAATTTAATTTTGATGTAAAGTTTTTTGCTTTTCGAGGTTGGAATTGAAAGAAGTGCATTAATGTTTCTGGTAACCAACATTTATGATGCGCTCAGTAAGTTGCGCACCGTATTGCCAACTCTTATCACATGAGAAAACATCCTTATTTAAGATGAGTTCATTTGTTGATTTAATAGATTCAGCGAGCAATAACAATGAATCTGACCATACTGCTAGCTTCATCTGAAAACTTTTTGGCGATTGTAGCAAGTAATCTCTGAGATGTGTTTTGAAAATGTCGTTTTCAATAATTCAACTTTGAATTATGAAACAGGGAATGAGTGGAAAAAGTAATATGGTTACATGAACAGAAGATGCAGGAACTGGAAAATGATGCTCGATGAGAGCATTACGAAGAGCTTCAGTGGCTGTGGACGGATGCACAAAAGAAAAAGCAGTGATATTGCATTCAGCAATTCGTTCCTCGGACAGGTCTAATGTCATCGTATCCTGAATTTTGGATTCATTCTTATTTTGATCGTTTGACATATTGGTCAAAACGTAGACCGTCTTTTCATGATCTAATATATTGTAATTTTGGTAGTGTTAAAATAAGAGGTCAAAGAAAGCTGACTGACTTTTCGGACACACAAAAAAGCGTATAAAAAGTTTGATAAAGAGCAAGATGGTTGTCAAGAAAGCAACTATGATTTCAGCTGTAATATTTCATTGAAAATGAATTCTAATAAAAGTGAGAAACTGAGCAAACCTAGCAATAAGAAAAAACTAACTAATCATGTAAAACATTACAACTATTCAGATGGGTTCTACCAATATCAGGTGGCGCATGAACAGCTGAATCATCAATCAATTCACGGTTATCTTGAAATGTACAGCTCATTGACTAGCTGGATGTAACAAGTTGTCGCTGTGACAACTCGATGACCTAACAGTTACAATATTCTACTACGACTACCCGTTGAGTCATTGAACATATGACTTCAGTACGTCCACTCGTTGATCAAGTTCATAGTGTAACCAAGTCGAGCACCTCACTCTCAAAACATAAAATCTAAATCTCAAGAATTTGGAAGATAACCCAAACAAAGTAGTTATTATCTTCAATTCAGATCGTACAGGCGAAAGATTCCCAGGAGCGATGGCTGAACGACAACAAAATATTGTGGGAAACTATGGCCGATGAATTCCGGGACAGATAAGAGATGCAAGTGCTTAAGGAGCAAGGAACGAAGGATCGTGGTCGTAAGTCGCAGTTCGTAAATCATTGGTCGTCGTCCGGATTCATGTTGATGAAAGTCTCTGCTATATGTTGTCAATCTCCGAAGTCATAATTGAAAGAAAGAAGCAATTGCTATTGTGATATTGTGATACTTGTGAAATATTCTTGTGAGATATTCTGAATCATCATTGTTGATAATCATCGTGAATCGAATATTATATGAGAAGTTGTTGTATGCCGAGTGGCCGATTACTATTATTATCAAATTATTATTGAGAGTTGAATAAATATATTATATGAAGTTCCACTGTGCATTCCACCGCACGCTGATTAAATTCATTTTTACTATAGTCTGCTAATCTCGACATAAATTCCTCACTTAGCTCGGCGCTCGGCCCGCCGTTCTCCTCTCTTCGTTTTTCGCCTGGCGCAGAATGAGATTCGCACCCAAAATTGAATCCCTTTTAATCCATAAAAAATGAATTATCGAAAGATTGAACTTCTGAAAATCTATGAAACTGAACAGAAGAGAAGGTAAAATTTGTTTGCTTGAAAGCATCCAGGTTGTTATTCGCAGTTTGAGAGTGATGAAAACCATCTGGAAGCTATCGAAGAGAAAGAGCTGCAGGAAAATTAGCCCAGCCATTCTAGAGTTCTATCAAGAGGCACATACACGCAAACATACAATTGTTACCAAGAAATAGTAAAGTGTGGGAAAATGGAGGTGTATAAACTTGCATAATTAGTGATAATGTAGTGATAAAGTGGTGTACACATGAGAAGAGCCGACGCTTGCTGCAAAAATGAGATTGTCGCGTTTAAGCGATGATGTATTATAATGTGATTTTCATTGATTATATGACGAATCTCCTTCAATATTGCTCCATAATCGTCATATTCAGGTAGCATGCGAACAATGACCTTAATATTAGCATCACATAATTTTTGACATAGCAAGATGCCATTCACTTTCCGATTAGTTATGAGCTTTACACACCTACATGACATCCACTCCTATGTATTTGACTTACAAATCACCTATTCAGTTTACCTTAAATAGTCCGAGAAGAAACTATTTTACAGATGATAAATTGAAAATTGCGCACACCTACAATCCTCACTCGTTTCAATCGACTGTGAGATACTGCTCAACTAAATTTGACGGTTCATTATCAAGTCGCCAATAATCAATTAAAATTAGCTCCTTAAGCTCATCTTCAAATTCCTTTTTACTTAATATTTATTTCTTGGCTAGGTGGTTATCAAAGCTTAATGAATCACATTTCTGTGCTTTGCAACAAATAGATTTGTAAAGTCGTATATAATTGACTTAGCACTACCTCAAATGGACGTGGAAAGTAACTGTTCGCTATGAAATGTTGCAGCTCTGCAAGATCTGAAAAAGATCAGTCTCAGTTCCGTACAATGAGTGTTGCCTGCACTCACTTCATTTTGTAACATTCAACTGAATAAACAAATTTATGTTGAACAAAACTTTCGGTCAATGAATTGCTGCATTAATTCTTACTGAAGTTGACTTCTTTTTTGCACATTTTTACTGATGCATAAAGCACCCAAAGCAGAAATTTGTTGCTAGAGAACGACTCAATAAAACTGAATTCGATGAGGGTTAAGTTTACGAAAGTGAATTCCATTCAGAGTATTCCTCAAACGAATATACCAGATGGATGCCCATAAAGCAGTACCATCGATGTCCACTTATAATAATGTACCACTCCCAACAGAACATCTGAAATGGTTCGAGGTGGTGGAAATAGATCGACTGACCTGCAAAAATTGATCTTATAAGAAACTTCACAGTTAGAGGTGTTGAAAATGCAACAAAAATCTTAAACAATAGATTTTTCAGGCGAACAAAGTGTTTGGATATTTAAAGAGTGTTCCAAACAGGGAACTATTAGAAAAAAATGAACATTTCCAAAGTATGCAACAACTGAATTCAATTCTGTTTCAGTATCAGCAACACTTTCACTTCTTATTGTCAAGAAACAATTGAGTTTCAGTAAAAAATGAACGTGAAATTCTTCTCATTTTACTGAATGACATTCTCGTTGATAACCAACAATGTTTTCCAATGATTTTGAATGAGCATAATGAGCTACATTCTGATTTTTGATTTCACACTGAATTCTGATTTCAAACAGGAACCGGTCAATATCGCTCGAAGGAATTCTGATTGCACTGCGTGGACCAATATGAAAATGCGGCACACTTAAATGATTCGTGTAACTGGATGCGATCACATTAGCTGGATAGTGTTTCGGACCGAATATAGCCACACACCGCTCGGTTAACTGTTCGCATACTGTAATCAACTTTTAAATCGTTACAATTTATTCACGTATCTTCCGTTGACTCATTGTAAGTCAGTTCAACTGTCACTACTCATTCGTTTTCGATCATAAATAATTTACGATGCGATTCTGTTTGCGCGCTCTCTCTCCTCGATCTCAAATGCATCGATCATTATCAAATTCGACAATCCCTCCAACGCGGCATAGATCCATTTCTGTTCAAATATTTCGTGAATTTGGAACGATATCAGATCATATAAGTTCTCTGATCACGAACCGTTCGATAAGACGGTAATCAATATAAAAATCTATTTTCAGCATTGATTTTGTGGCATATTCGTTCGACAGCTACTTAACTGCTCAGTACAGACGACTTTATAAAGGTTTGAAAGAACAAAAGATCATTCGTTTAAAATTTGTTCACTTCTATTCGTTAAATCGATGGTTAGCTCGAAGTGATCGAACATTAACGCATTCGTTGGGATGCCACTATGCTCTGCGATCGCAGCGAAAACATGTTCGTCATTTTCATCAATAAAAACACCTGAAATTATTTCGTTGGATTCAGTCATTTTGATAACTTGTATGTTTATGAGTTTGATTTTTCATATTTTATTCAGTAGGTGCCGACCGATATTCACGTTCCATCGAAGTTCAGCTGATAAGGCGTTCAATTTTATTGACAAATGAAGAATCATCGATCAGTACGACTGAACAAGTCGTAAAATGAATAACTGAGACCAGGAAATTGTATCTGGGTTGATCTTGTTCGTATAATAATGCAGCAGTTAATCGTTGAGATATAGCAGTTGAGTGGCAGCTTTCATTGTAACTCTCCGATGAAAGAACAACATCTTCATAAATCCCTTAGATTTCATCTTAACTTACATACTTGATCCATTTGAAAGTTTTAGTTCCGTTCAACTCTTGCCTAACATATTTCATGGGGTGAATGCATTTCTACATTGACTAGACTACCTAAGATTCAGTTCAATGATCACGCATGACCCTTCCAACGATGGATGTTACTAGAATGTCTCGTAATTTCGCCGTAAAACAGCTACAGATCATACGTACTTACCAATGCGATTTGATATGACATTTACAAGAAAAGTCAACAAACTGATGAACGATACCAACATAATATAAATACGATTCTTCGCAAAGTGAGACCAAAGTAGGACTGCGATGTATGAGGAGAACTCTGTTGATGTAAATAGTGTATGTGTATGTGCTAATGGATTTAATCCATCAAATATGATTAACATCAATTTGTGATTGTTTAATTGAAAAAAAAAACGAGTGAAAGCCAAATTCTAAGGCAAATACGAGCAAAAAAAAGAAATAAAACAGTTGAAATATCAATTGAAAACAACAAAATAAACAACGGGAATGTTTTTCGAGTGTTGTATGCTCCATCCCCGATGCTCAGTCACATCTTAACCGACAATGTTTAGAGCACCAGAATCTGGAGTAAACGAAAGACGTACACAGTAGACATGAAAGAGAGGCGACCATGAAAATTCATCTTCCGAACTGATATCAAATTTCCCGCAACAACTAAAGCATACTGAGATAAATGCATAAAAATTATTCACATCTGTACATATTTCACGAATTCTATTCGAATATCCTCAATTAAGTAGTTTGTGCTAACTTTCTGGATGGAAAAAAGAATTCAATGAAAGCACAAAGCAATGGCTTACCTTCAAATTTCTTATCACTGAAATTCATAATGTTGCATAAAAGTGTTCGTAAAAACGAGTAACAGTGAAATTATAAGTGCTCATCGAAACAATACATAATGATAATAACAATGCTATGTATAATATTTCAAATGCGCAAATTATTCCAACAATAATATAAATAGCATTCGTATTGCAAAAAATACAAGTAAAATAAGAATCACATACACAAAAACACAAATGAACTGTTACAATAGAATGGAGGCAAATAATCATTGGCAATGTGCACACGCAAAAAGTTTACTTTCATTATTCTCGCAACGAAGCGAATATGAATCAAAAATATGGATAGACTACAATTTTTGTGTCTTTGTGCACACCAAAAAAAATGTCGACCTTTGCAAATATGTGGCAGCATTGTAGAAGCACTCAGTGGCAGTGGAAATATCAGAAGGCAAACAATACATCTCATAGAATAATACCAATATATCAGACCTATTATCAATTTCAGCAACGTTTCAATGAGCTGAGCTTTTCATCATTGCTCGCACTACCATTGAAATAGCAATTAAAGCATAAAAAATCCAGACTTATTGATTCTGCTTTCTTAGTTTCTCGAACGCTACTGATTATCGACAAAAATTTTTGCGGTAAGCGCTATTTCTAGGTTAAAGTGCTAATAAGAAACAATCGAAACCAGAGTATTACAAGATTCGTGGTTCCAATGAATGAACGCTCATTGTTTTATTTTCAGACTGTCTTCAACTACTAACGAAGACTGGTGAGACGGTAAACTTATTTTTCATTAAATTTCCTCTCATCGTCGTAGAATCCCGACATTGTTAACTGGTAACGGAATATGTATATACTTACAAAGACGATCACCTCTCAATACGTTGATAATATTCGTTAGATTAAGAAATTGATTAGATTACAACTGATTAAACACATTTGATCACAAAATATCAAAACACACAAAATAGCAACGTGGAAAGATGATGAAGACGAATGAGAAAACAATAAAGAAAATTTGCCATAAATATTACTGAATATGACGCAAAAATGGCCCGATTTGAACAAAGAAAAACTGACGAAAAATTGTAGCAAAATTAGGAGAAAACACGTAAATAAATGCAAAATTGATTAGTTCATCGTACATTGAATGACGATGAAAGAGACTTAAGTCAATCGTAATGATCAAAAGAGATAAGAATATTCGGAATCGAAACGAGAATTGAAATTAACGAGCGAACATAAGGATGGGAACGATGTGCTTATGCGTGAAATGAGGTTCATTCAAACGAAAGAATAACAGCAGCAATAATCATCGACCATGCAAGATAAGCGAAAAACAACATTATTATTACAGTTCTCGAGATAACCGTTCAGTGATATCTGATTTTGAAAAACATTTGTTTGTAACAAATCACTTAATCAGTGATAAATAATAGATGGGGAAACAGAACTAAGAAAATAGAAACTTATCATCGATTATAGAAGGATTTCTTCGCAAATCATCTCTCATTATAATTCAAAATGACCAAAAAAATCTCCGTTTCTATTTCCAACTTCAAGCCAAATTCAACAAACGAGAAAAAAATAAAAACAGATCCTTTGAAGAACAATACACTGAGCACTGAAGAAAAGATTGAAGTTGAATTTGGAAAAAGGAAAGATTGAAACAAGAATGAGATGCCAATGTGTGAAGAAGGAGAAGAGGAGGGTGGATAATAAGTAAAATGGAAACATGGCAAAATGCGAGAAATATGAACATAAATAAAATAGTAAAAACAAATCGTATAAATAAACAAATAAAAATAACAACTGACCCGTTTAGGTCACATAAACATGAAACAAAAAGTTTCCCTTCTTCTTCATCCTAAATTTAATCAGTAATTTATTCTTCAACAATAAAAATGATAACGAATGATAACTTAATTCCGCCGATTTTTGACCTTCATTTCGACATCATTTCGTCGTTTATTCTTACGATGTCCTCGTTTCGGTCCACCTAATGCAGTACCAGGATCAGTAGAAGCCGTGTATGGAGGTGGTGGTTCAACAACAATAATACTAGCGGGTGGCGGTGCAGAGGTTGCTGACGTGACTGCATGATGAGGTGGAGCTGTAGGAGGAGGAGGTGCGGATGCAATTGGATGAAAGGCTGCTGATGATCGATGATGATCAGAGTTTGAGCCTGACACTGCTCCGCTCGACCTATGTGCGTGCCGATTCTCAGTGCTACTGTGATTTGCATGTCGTCGCGGGTTTGCAACTCCCATTCTACTTGCATTAATCGCACCATTCTAAAATTATTCTTTGATTTATTCACCGTATCATTTGCTACTTTTCACTGACTCCATAAATTTTATTCGTTCATCGATTATACTGTTGTAGTGTTTAAAAATATTCATTTATTTATTCATCCTTCAACTTATTGATTTTTCTTCTTAAAAAGTACGCATTCATTTCACCTTCCATCTTTACTGTTCATGAAGAAGATAAAATCATCAGAATTATATCACCCAGAGAAGTGATAGACATTTGAGAATGCACATACCTCAGCAACAGAACGTGCTACTCTTGGCCTGTGAATAAGTGATTTAGGGCGTCGCAGCGTGTCGTAGATATTAAGGGCTGGCGGTTTATTTGGGTTAGTGCTGGGTGTGTGTACTGCACAGCACTTGATGAATACAGCCATGAATAGTAATAATCCTAATCCTCCAATGACCACTGCCCACCAGTTCACCTAAAAATCATTTCATTATACCTACCGAATCAACAAATTATCTTTCTTAGAAACATCTATCGACCTCAAAAATAATGATGAAATCTACCTGGATCCAATACTTCACTTCATGCAGAGTTTTCGGGTTGAAAATAACATTTTTAAGCCGAGCTAATGGTCCATCTGCGTCTACACTTCGGCATTTGCGGAATATATCACAATAACCTATAAAAAAAGGAAGTAAGTTACGCCGCACGCCTTATCCATTAGTTCATCAGTGTAGTTTTTTGGAGTAATTGTGCGAACAATAATGGTACAAGTAGATATTCACGAATAAATGCTACCTTTGTAATTATTGCACGGTGAACCGGGAAGAAGCACAAGGCCAGGCCTGTTATCACGTCCCATTTGTTTGAACCGGCCAGCGGCAAACTGAGGTAAAACAAGACTTGATCGACACGCTAAAAAAAAAGACGGCCGATGAGAAGATTCCATATTTATTTCCCCACGTAGAGATTCCTCATTATGTTCCATTATTATCAGTGTGTTATTTGGAAAGACGTCTTAACAATCAACACGTTTCACACAGAATTTGTCCGGAGATGATACAATAATCTCTACGGAGCTAAACGCATTTTATTGTTCATAAGACTTGTTGATGGGAAATGGAACCAAAAACATGTAAGCTCATGAAAGTCACAACCAAAATCCCAGTTTTTTAATTCTGCTAGAATGATTCTGCATCATTTTGCCAAATGAAATACGATCGTTATTGATACGACAATACTTCTAATATCGTAGCGAAACAAATGCATTCAGCACTTGCTTTTGTTCAATTTCTGCTGTATATTCTTGGATCCTCGGAAGTGAAACGAATAAATTCAAAAGTTTTAAATGAGGAGTGCATAACAAGGATTATTATTTTAGGTGAAGTGTCATCGAATGTTGAAATTTTGAGATTCATCGCATGACGATATGCTAAACTAATCAAGCGTACAACCACATTCTATTAACATAATGGTAACCAATAATTGATTTACACTGAACTTTTACATGAAAAAACATCTAATATTTGAAAGAAGTCATCATCATAGTAACTCACTTCCGTTCGCATCTGCACATGCCAAGTGACATAAATGTTCAGGATTTCCTTCAGTTAAGAAGCAATCCTTCAAACCGACCTGGAAACAGTATGTGAATATAGACAGTCAGCTAAAATTAGGCATCCAAGTTCCCTAAGTCATTTGATCACCAACTCTATCTGACGAAATATAAAAAATATCACACCTAAGCCTCTGCATACGTCCCCATTTCGTCATCCATTGAGAGCAAGGTCTTATAGGAACAAAAGCATGACGACAATAAAATGGCAATAAATGAAGATTTATTGGCTTTGGAATTAACGCTGAAGAATTACGAACGAACCTGAGCACAAACTGAGCCATTGCAGTTTCCAGCGTAACAAACTTTGGTGGAGTCTTGACAAGGACGACCATCTCGCTTAGGTCGTGACTCGGGACACTCAGCACTAGATCCACTGCAGTACTGCTCTTCGAGACATTCAGATTCAGCACGACAAATCCTAGACATACATAAAAATGATCAAATAGAGATTAAACGCCCACATAAAGGAAACAAACAACGATCAATAACTGTTCCTCTAAAAGCATTCAACAACAGATGCTTACGTCATTCACGCCAATAGAAATCAGATAGAATTCGAATGAAATCACCTGAGCACGAACATATATCTTGAATTTTTGCCACCTCATAGTACAATACTGCTAACGATAATACGAGACCCGCACTGAATTATTGTTTGATGAATCGAGTAATTCAATTCAAGCCACTCACTTATTGGCAGAAGAGGGATGAAATGCGCAGCGTTTAGCATCGCAACAAGGTCCTTCTGAAGGACTACACGATGCATTGGGGACACGACGACAACCGTTGCCTGCCTGGCGAGGAATGCAACACATATCGTCCATCGTTTGACAGTCCTCACTCGTATATCCACAATCGCATTCTTCACCCGGTTCTTTCACTTGATTACCACAGAAGGCCGACTTCGTTTCTGAATTCCACTCAGGCTAACATATATAACAGGCCGAATGAAACCAGTCAATAATCTCAGAAGACGTTAAGTCATTTACTAGAAGAATTTGTTTAATAGTAATTCTTTTGAAAAAGTAAATAAATAAGAAAATAAACAAATGAATGGAACGACATTTAAATACCTCTGAAGCAGTTCCTTTTACCAACCGCACCGATATATCCGCCGAAACGATACACATTCGACTCACTGCCAACCGGTCGCTGTTGTAAAACCTGAACAGCGATCAACTTCCGTTCTCAATTTGAAACAGGCAAAACAATCCAAGTATCTCGGAACGAATGATTAAACGAAATGACCTCCATTAGAACAAGACTAATGTTAGCGATTGAACACTTCGAGAATTTGGCATTATTGCGTTTATCACCGGATGTCGCTGATGCAAACATAATATAATTACCATCTGGAAGGCCTGGTTGACACTCCGCTGGATAATCGTGCTGTAATGATGAAAAAGTGATGTAGAATAACTAGATTGAGGTAATCTGTCATCTTGATGCTTCACAAAATATTTCCCATCAACGAAAGAATATTGTGAACAACCAACGGAACAAAACTATGATAAAACTCAAGCATCCCTGATATATTATGCAGTCATACCAATTTTTTCCATCAAAAACTAATCCTCAATCAAAACAAAATGATAAATACGTAAACATCTTCCCTCAAACATATGAAATTTTCGGCAAAACTTGTTTCGAGTAAGTGTATTATGCAAGATTAAAGGAACGAAAATTAAATAAAGGTTCTTGCCATCTGTCAACCTAAAAATGTACAAAAAATATGACCAAAGAGATTAGAAAATATACACCGCTTCCTTTGAATTTTCTCGAGAAAATTTAATGATATTTTAATGAATGTATTCAATGAAATTGAATCCGTATTGGTGCTCACTAACCGGTGATCCAAAATTGTGTCCAATTTCATGTGCTAAAGTTAATTGTGAGACGCGTGTCGGAACTCGATTACCATAATTGACCAATGTTATTATACCGGTATTCAAGGAACGGTACACAAAATTCGTACCTTCACTATATTTTGTATACTGTTGACAAATACCTCCAGCGGTGTCTAAAGTACATGAATGTACAAACCTTGTTGTGGAGAAATGAAGCATGACGCTGTCACATGATTGAGCGCTCAGAATTGACTGCATGAATGCACACTCAGGATGAATTACAGAAGAATGCTCATAAATATATGACATGGTTAAATGAAGTTTAGATGAAATACTTATCGCTCAAAGTCGAAAACAATGTGATCGATTCTAATTTCATCATCGAAAAACAATTACAGGTTAGTGAATAAGGAATTTGATAGAGCTTACTGTGATTTGGACTCGCAACCCAAGCAAGTCCAAGTGTGCCGCCAACGAAGTCACGAAATGTGAACGCGTATGCAAGACAAAAATCAGAATGATTACGACGCGAATTAAGATTTAAATAATTTGACACGTCTACGTTCTCTTCACAAAACGGATTATCATAGGTTCCCTTTGATTTACCACCTTCACACGACTGGGGAGTAAACATCTGAATATGATTCAGATGATCCCTGTTTGCTCGGTCTTTCATTGGCAATAGGTCATAAGCTCAATTAAGCGTTGCAATTGTGATAATGCAAGAGTAGGAGTGGTTTTACGAGCAACAACGCTACATTCAGCTTACCTATACAACGACAGCAATGAATCGTTTGTTCAGAAATCTAATATGAAATTAACACGTACCGGTGAGGCACATGTAACATCATATTGCTATAAAACTGCAGTCGCTTAGTATAAATTGCCCTTTTGATGACATAACTACAATCGGTAAATAATGCGAGAAGAGATGATAACGATCAAATGATCTTTATAGAATGACTTTGCAAATTCAAAACTATAAACAACATCTGAGTGTTTCAATATAACCCTAACAAGCTTGATATTTGCAACATATAGAAAGCATAAGTGAAGGGTAGGCTAAGACATTCAGTGAACTACAAAACAATGTCTAAAACTAACCGAAATTCGTTGAATGACAAATTTGATACCGTACACACCGTTGAAATTAGTACCCTCATATATCTGATTCACCGCTTTGATGTGATTGTAGAAGAGACTTGCAATTTCTTCTCTTGTTCTAAAAAAACCTTCTGGTCCATTACCTTTCTGCCGATTCATTTCAACTTAACACTACTCCATCCAATGGTTTAAAATTTCATTTTATCGTAATACCTAACAAATACTCAACCTTCGATTTTAACCGAAATGATGTTAAAATCCTTTATCAACAATCGTCCTCCATATTCTTCCATTAATGCAAATCTTTTAAAATGGTCATTTTTTGAATTATAAATGTATAAAGTAAAAGCTACAATAATAAAAATAATAGATGCATGTATAAGAATTGCACTGAGTAGTTCACCTGATTGGATCAAGATTACCCTCTTTTTCGTAGATATGCTGATAGAGTTTTTGATCTGCTTGAAGATAAACGTAGCATGCCCTTCAAATAACGTATTCATGATGAACCCATTTCATATAATCAACAGAGGATAGACAAGATAAGCTGTATTCAATACGCGAATTTCTTCAAACAAAAAGAAATTAGAGACGAAAATTTTTATCGGGTACTTCCTGAGAAATTTTGCCCCATAAGCCTTCAAATATCTGAGGAGTTTTGGCGCACACAATAAAATAAAGGTGCAAAGGTAAACGCCATTTTTACCTGACTGAATATACCTGTTTACCATTGATTGTCTTCGTTGCTTCAACATCTCGTTTGTATCTTTTCGTGTCCATCAAATATCTCAAAAAAAAATAAAATACCAACACTAAGTGGCCACCTCTCTCAAAATTCTTTCCGATGAAAAAAGAATAAACACACAAAGTTTCAATTCTGTATTACCGTCATCACAAACACGAGAAAAACACTGTCTTCGAGAGGAATGGCTACCACGATAAGAAGGGAACGAATAAAGAAAAGAAAAAAAACATCTATCCTAATTTTACCAAACTAAAGCGCCACTGTTTGCATTTCTTTCAAGGACTTATTGGTTTAGAATAAAAAATTTTGAGACAAACATTTTGGATTGATTGTACGCAACAAGTGATAACTTACTTGTTGACATGTACGAATAATTGAATGCTCACCGCTTGAAGCGAAAATGAGAATTCTTTCACGTGATGAACTTCAAATTCTGCTCAGAACTACAAGAAATAAAAGCAAAAAATGAGTTGAACCGACCTTTTCGGGAACGAGTCATCGTGGTGATATTCTAAAAATCGTAAATGAGATGACTGATGCTCTTGCGATGATGGCTCGACGACGACACTCTGTTGGAATTTTTCCATTCTGTAGCGTAATTCCTCATTCATCCCACAACCATGATCATAATCAAATTCATCCGTTTTCATCCCTTTATTCGAACGTTTCGAACGATGACCACGAAACAACGGATGATTTATTGATTGATCTGTTTGTGCAAATTCGTTATATCAAATCAAACCATCTATTTAACTGACCGAGCACACAAATAAATCCAACAAGTGTTTAAGGTACAATTAATTCGTCTACATGATCTACAATGCTAAATGATGAATACTACTACTGATAACTGATCTATATATATATATATATA